TCATCTTTACTACGCAAGTTCAACTTAGGGACTTCATTGTTAGTATTGCGGTAGGCTTTCTGTTGATTCAGGCGTTTTGTAAAGCGCCGTTTTACCTCTTCTCCACATTCGAAACTTGACAACCGATCCTAAAAAAATTTCATCAACTGTTACGCTGTCAAATTACTCAGATTTTCTTCTGGTGGCAAATTCCAATTGTAACGTGTTTAATCCACATTATATTTTATTGATTTACCAGACCTCGTCGTTACCATTCGCGGCATTCCCAAAGCTGACTCTGTTAGATACTTCAGAGTCGTTCTATCCCACAATCTCTCTTGGACCTTACATGTAGAGAATGCTCACAAAAGGTTTCGTAAACTTTCTTTTTATCCTTTCAGGCTGAGGTAGCTTGCTGTTACCCCAAACCTAATTTTCCAAATTCGTGGTAGCATGCATCCTCCCTCATTGACTTTACTGTTCTCCTGTATTTTTCCTGGCCTAAAAGAAAAAGATTTCATATAAATTTCTAGGCCCATTAAAACTCCTATCCCGTTGTATTGGCATAACCAGAAATGTTCTGGTTGATTTTATTGTATACAAACATACCGACGCATGTGGAAGAATAGCCGACAGAATAGTGAACAACGAAGATCCCTGGTTGCACAACGAACTTACTGAATACACGTCAAACCCCGTACAACCTCCCATTATAGGCTCCTTTTTACACGCACTGTCACATACAGAAAGAGCATCCTCCTTTTTCTTGCTCACTTTTTAGTAAATCGGGAATCAATTATTACAGGTCTAATCGAACATCCTCATGAATTACTTTATTTATTCATTTTAATCTATCACCAGCGTCTTCCTGCTTACAGTTTGCTGTCGTTTTTTTGTTTAACCTATTCACACTGTTGTGATCCCCCCAACTTCACCGTAATATCGTAAAAAATCGCTACAAATCCACCCTTTCGGGTGCGTAAAGCTTATTTTGACTGACTTGACTTGTCTAGCGTTTGAATCCAATAAAATTTCATTCACGTTTGAAAAGATGACAACCTTAATTAATTGGAAAACCAGTGCTCTGAATTACATGCAGGTTTCCAACTGAAAACGGTTTTGCCCATTCCTGTTTATATTGGACCTCCATCGTTGCTCCTCTCTAATGTTTCAAATTGTTTTTCAAGCTACCGTATTTTCTATTAAAGGACATTATTGGTATTGGTTGCTGGTCTCCGTATTTGTTTCAAATATTAGATTAATTGTCTAAGAACATTTAACATCTGAAGAAGGAATTTTCTTAGGATAGTGGCCAACACTTGTGGTCCAGTAAGGATAAATTCTATACACTTGTTCATTCATTTCATCTAGTGGAGCTCAGTAGGCTTGAACTAAGACCTTTCCCTAGTCTTATATTCACTTCTGACGAGGCCACTTCGTCAGACCGACGCGATGAATGTTATGCTTATCAAACGCCTATCAAACGAATACCCGACCAGGAGAAAAAAGGATTCGCGTAACAACCAAAAACGCTTGCTGTTTGGTTATGATGAAGCAACAAAAGTGTCTCACACACACTATTTAAACAGCTATCTGATGCTCACGAATGATCTTCAAACACATTTCAATCGCATTTCGAACGCATTTTGTGTTGTTACTGTTGTTGTTGTTGTTGTTGTTGTTGTTGTTGTTGTTGTTATTGAATGACTCATTACTTTGCAATTCTTTTGCTGTACCTTTAATTATAAAGTCCTGTGTAAATGCAATGATATCGTCATCGATCTGTTGATTCGGATAATTTGATTCTTATGCGCCTCTTGAACTAGACTTCAGCTTTATCTCTAGAATGTAGGATTTGGTTTGTTCATATGGTAAATTTTGTCGTGTAGAGGACAAATGAAACGTGAACTAAAATGCTAAGAAGCAATGGACAGCTGGTTTCAGTCTCATCAATGGTGGTGGGAATTCATCAACCTCTAAATGGGGATAGAAATCGGGACCTCACAAGTGGAACAAAAGCACACTACCCACTCGGCTACCTGACAGACCATGGATCATATTCCCCATACAAGATTTGGCATGACCCATCTTTGCGAGCTTAATACAGACATGGCACCTTGCGCGCATATCAGCACTGGCCTCCAGGATTGTGTCTTCGAACCAACCCGATTATTCCAATTGAACAGTGATGTCATTATCATTGAGGTAACTAGAAAACCTCCCTGGAATCGGGTCAGTACAAGACCTCGTGCACATCGCATGACAATCTTTCACCGAATCTGTTTTTGGTTAATGCTTATTTCACCTCCCATATTCATTTTCTATCATTATTCTTGTCAAAACAAATCATCTCTCANCCTGGGCGAACGTGCACGGTTTCAGCCAGTACGATGTTAAATTTTTCAGTACTGTATGAACATACCTATGTTTTTGACCAAATGTGGTTACACTTGACAAAAAAGCTGACTTGAACTATGGATAAAACGAACGATTGTATGCGTACCTTTCATTGGACCGACCATCCAACAGACTTCGAGGTAGGAAACTGACTGCGAACAAGTGATGAGCAACGCCCGCCTGTGATCGGTCCTGGAAATGCCGGAGAAATTCACGAAACGGAAGTAGCCCATGAGAATCCGGCTTCAAACCGAATCTGAAGAAAAATCGAATCGCATCGTTCGAACTGATTTCGGGTAGACGCAATCGCTTCAGCCCTTCAATGAAGGCGTCTGTAGGGATTAGATGGACTGGTAGATTTTCCGTTCCGACTGACGCAGAGCGACATTTCTCAAATACTTTGAGCACTTTTCTGAAACCTTTGCGAAAACGTCTGTTCAGCCAGGGGATAAGTTCGTCTGCATTTGGAGATTTACCGGTTCCGGATTTAGTAATTACTGCTGATTAGAAACATTGAAGATACAAGGAATAATATTAATAAACGGTTTATGATACATTCAAATCTCCGGTTTAAATGAATAAAAGAACAATGATTTTCTTTAGTTAATAAATAATATGATACGTCTCTTAATTCTATAAGGCCATTCGTTTGAGCTAAAAGATATCACAGTGTTAACAGAGCTTTCCTTTACTGTTAAACAACAGTGCGTGGAATTTTTATGTGCGGTAGATGCCAGCTGGAACCAAGAAAAGTAGTACACAAACAATGAGGCTGCAGAAGCAAGAACATAGTCCTATAGTTGAAAATGTAAGAGTTATCCAGATGCAAACATGACACATAGTTCTGTCTTGACTGAAATGTATTCATCACAGCAATTTTTAAATTTAGGGTTGATGGGGTCATCATGTTACCAGGTGAAGTGAAACGAGGCCTGGATCGATTCTGTTTCATGTACTTTCCTGTCCGTTGATCAACAGCTTTGTAAGAGTATGTAACCAAGATCTTTTGGACAAACATTTTGCTGGAAATCATCCAGAAAAAAAAGATATTAAGGCATACATTAGTTTATTTCTGTCCCCAATTAACACTTTCACCGATCGAACGGTATAGCACCTCCCTGAAACGGGGAACTTTCTTGACAAAAACTTTACAAACACACCAGTTCCAAAAGCAAACGTTTTTAGTTCAGAGCATTTTTCCTTGTGGAACTGTTTATGTCAAGAATATTTGGGTATATTTTTTGTTTCCCGGAATTCACGAAAGCAAAATATCTGAGAGAGGCATTAAAATTAACAGTCAATTATGCACCAATTGGTAACTTTTTACAAGTTCCTTGTTAACTGCTTTCATGCTGTTGGTGTTTCACAAAACCATTCCTATGCAGATTGAAAATAAAGGTGTTTTATTCCCGTGGACAAGAGTTATGTCAACTTCAGGGTGTCACTAAATCCACCTGTGGAGGTTGGATGGGTGATGGTTGCCAGTTGTAATTAACTGAATGAACTGATTACGTAACACCATCGCATATTAATGTACAAGCTGAAGAATGAAACGCAGTGAAAAATTTGTTGGACTCAATCGTCTTTTCACTGTACAACTTGTTGACTATTTCAGCGATTTTTATGTTATCGTGATCACTTTCATCCCTCTAATCCAACTGGAGAAGGGGATTGTAAACAGTCATCTCAAATATTCGGCCCTTAATTTTCATTCATTTGGCTTCGGCTCCATTGTTTGGTATCCTGTATTCATCTGATTATCCTTCAAATCTGGAAAAAATATTTCCCTGTACCGTTTTCTGACAGAATCCTCATACAAAGATTCATAACTAAAAGCGAATAAAATGACAAAAGTGAGTGAACACAGATAAGAAGCAAAATATTGACGAACATGACAACGTTCCTCGTTTGAATGAGAGGAATAATGAATTATCTAAAGAGAATCTCTTTATTGCAGACCGTTTCGGTTTTACGCATGTTGCAAGTTTACTGTTTTGTTTCATTACCTTGCCTTTCAATTCTATAGCAGGACCCGCTCCTACGTGCTATCGTATCTTGGACGCATGCCATTATATTGTAGTTCGTGTGACTAAGCAACGAAGCATGCTTTGAGGCATCAAAGTGAACATATCGCAAGTGCAATTGAGGTTTGGTCATTGGTAGAGGCACATGGTATGTCCGAGATAAATCACGTGATTGGTCTCGCGTGATAAAAAGCATGTGACCATAATCGCAATAAACAGATTCACGCACACCAACACACAAGCGTGCACACACACACAGGGCCATTGAGGAGAACAAAGTTAGTCTTAGATCAATCCTTTATCAGACAGAAATTCCAGTTTGGGCTTGGCAAAACTGCACAAACAAAAACCACGGCAATAATTATTTTTCCCGATGTACCTTGTCCCACTGGGTTTTGGGTGGTAGCATTGTTTCCCCTATTAAGCTGATCCATTAGTCCATTCCCCGACGCAAAACAACCGGGGTTTACTGTAAACACACCGGATGAAACACACCACATGCTTCATGCTAATTACCCGATTTACGCTACACGCGTATATGACTGAAGAAAATACGTACGGTAGTTAAGGGTCAATTTTCAAGCACGTGATATCCAGATATCACGAGTGCCTGTTTATGTATGTGATATCCGATTGCTTTGATTTCTGGTCGGTAAATCCAGTAACCTCGTGATGATGAGAACGCTCATTGACCTCCGGTATCCGACCACCGATTTCTTCGAGACGTCGCCCGTGTTTGATGCGCATATTGAGTACAGAATGGCATGTCATGTGTTGGGCTTGACAGTCGTTCACTGAATGAAGAAATCTCTACACACCGTTTCCGTTTGATTAATCTTATTTTGCGTGTATTTGCTCATCTCATCCGTGATCAGTTTGCACGCAATAGATAAAAGTGGCAGAAACAACGTAGCGTGTCAACCGTAAACTATCGTTTAATCGTCTTCGTCTGCACCCGAATATGCTTATAACAATTCTTTGAGTACAGTGTCGGGACCACACTTCTTTATATTTTATATATTATATTATCATCATGCATATTATAATGCACATTGAGCGTTCTTACGTAAAATAAAACATTGAATTCATGTTTATCGGTTGAATGCGAACTAACTTATGTATTGGCCAACAGCTGTTCGGTACCTTACCAACTGAATGTGTTCCCCTTTCTGGTACACTAATTGAGGCTTTTGTGTCTGCTGACCTATTGATATCAGAACACATTGAAATATCACAAATCATCGTCTCTGGAGAGTTTAGTCACTCGAAAATCAGGTATTTTTTGCACCCGCTTGGTAGTAACAAACAAGGCCAAATCACCTACAAGATAAAACAATAGTTTATAAACGGCTTCGAGGTCATCTTTACAAAAAATGCCTTCATTCAACTCCGATGAATGCTTCGTTTGGTTCTCGCCGACGATATGTTCCAAGTCCTTCCATGTTATGTTCATCCGTTCAGTTCATCACCGGTTCATACCAAAGCCGTGCTCCATCGAGTACCTCACCATGCTGCGTGAAATAATTGTGGACATTGATTGCGGTCTGTTTTGACAACCATCATATTTCAGTCTGTTGTGATCACGAGCCAGTTTATTTTGTGGTTTGTTATGACATACGGTGTCTACTAAAGGGGATTCGATTTACATCCGGCCGAGTTTGAATCGGATCTACCAGATTATTGTATCCATATGTGGAATCACTCAATCAGAAAAAAATGATGTGCTTACATGATCGATGATCGTCAACTGCTGCTACAAACCTCATGCCAAATTCAAAAAAATATTAGAGTCGAAGTAATGTGAAGTCAAATCTTGCTTGAAAACTGCTTCCATAGTCAAACGTGGAATAAAGTATCAAAAATCTTGCCGTTTGTGCTCAACATCCCATGACTTCCCGAAAACCCTGTAAAGAACTCAATCATACATTGTTTGCATATGGATTCACAACGCGTGTCACTGCCGGAATTGGTCAGTAAGCCTAGAAGTGGCGGTCAGATTCAACTGAGGATAACACGGATTGAAGTGGATCAGGCTGATAAAGATTGCTGAGTTTGATTGATTTCGGCCCACTGTGGTCAAAATCTGTCCCGCGAGAATCAACGTTCTCTTGTGTCGCTAATCAGTTTTGTTCTGTCATGAATAGGTCGCACAATGAAACGTTTACCTAACTGCACTAATACACTGAATTGTGTTGAATTAAATTTGATCTTATTTGCGATACATGTGGAATGTTTACCTCCCTCAGTTCTATTATGGGTAAGGGGCCAACGGCGCTGAACAAACGGTTTCCGGATACGCAGTACACGTTAGGGGTGCAGATGACCGGGTGAGGAAAACGTGAACTGTAATCTATTGCGAATAATGTTCAGTGATTGCTAATCATATACTCAAATATCAGCAGCCCATCAAGGTTCACAATTCATAAAGGTCACTATACTCGGACTGTAAGGATAGAACTCAGTCGACGTCACTCGAGAACAACGATTTTCTACGACTACAAATGTGGTTTTAAACAGTAGCAGAGTGTTGATCGTTTGTGACCAGCGTTTAATGATGACGCGCCTTCAAGAAGCATTGTGCTTGAGTGATTTGCGGCATTCAGTCGTAGCAGGTGGTCCCCGGATAATGTGGTCGACCTGTGGAAGCCAGCACAGCGGACAACATTGTTCTTGCGCAAACGATAATGATGGAGGATGTGCGAGTGACAGTGACACATTTGATGAAAGCCATCGGGATCTAATCGGGACCAATCCACATCATCCAGATGAGAAGCTCGGCCTCAGAAAGGTTTGCGCATGCTGGGTACGCTCAGTGGGGAACAGAAAGAAGTGCAGGTGAATTGGTGCCGCATCATGCTTGCCAGATTTGAAGGTGGACGTTCAGTGCATTTTGGGAGATCGTCATTGGTGATGAGATTTAAGTGTACAGTTTTGGCAGAGAGACGAGGCAACACTCGGCTCATTGGACGGCAGTTGGTGGGGTGCCACCTCAGAAATTCCGAAGCTTGCTCAGTGTGGCAAAACAGATCGTGCCTGGAACTTGCTGCAACACGGCAGCACACTTGCACACAATTCCCATATTATCGGCGATTTTCTGGCTGGAGAACGCATCCAGTATTTGGGTCACCCAGTCTATAGAGCATATCAGGGGTTTGCGTGATCAAAAGCTGCGGTAGAGACCTACATTTAACTAATGGCAGGGTTATTTACTTCGGCGTGATTGAGCTGTTTCACCAAAATGTTTGAGTGCATGAAACTGCCTCAGCGCTGGTGGAGAATAATTCTAGAAACTATAAAGCTTATTTTGAATTTTCAGTTTCATTTTCATTTTACTTCCTTTTATGGAGTATACAATTCTCAGGAAGGATTAAGCGGCCAATCAAAGGGCTGCCATAGAACACACATAATGGGGAAAGGTAGGCGATAGTGGTTGGGTTCGAACACACGTAGTCTGAAGTGGTAGTTGGTGACGTTACCATTGGGACAAATAAGACATTTTGTGCATCCGGAAACATTTATCCAGCCCTCGTATTTAACGGCTCGAGTTTAATTGATCCCTCAAATGGCGGCACACCTAGTTTTCATTTATTCCTTCTGAACTGCTCCAATGTGGGATCTATTCACACTTTTCAATTTTATTTTCACATATTGACCCTCAAACAAAGATAAAGAAAGATGACCTAGTGATGTAAATGGATGAAGATAGTCCAAGTGGAACTAAATGTGTCACCAATTTCCAGTACCCAAAATTAAGTGATTTAAAAAATATCTCCCTTTGTTTGCTGATTTTCAGTCTATTAATCATCCTCTAATGTGCCCAAATCATATGCCGTTCTTTTTACATTTCCCACGAAGATTTTTCTATCAAATTTATATGTTCTTATCTACTTTACATATATAAGTAATCTTGAAGTATATGAAGTTGTACAATGTATTGTTTAGGTTAGCTCCTTTGATCGTTTACAATCATCAGGCATAGGCTGCCCTTGATTATAGGTTTCACTCTTTGAGAGGTGGTCTATTCCTCACTCTTTAAATGCATTTTTATTGAACTCAGATCTCTGGGACGACCGTCAAAGATAACTAGACAAAAGTTCTATCCTTTTTATGAGTCAAACCGCTAATCCTCGGGTCGGGAGTCAAAATCATTACCTCTGGGCTACACCACCGACGATCAGCACCTTGAGCGAATGAATGATTCAATGACTTTTCAGAATATCATATTATTTGGAGTTTCGACGCTCAATCCGAAGGTGAGTGGTTTGAGTCCTAGGAGGAACACAAAATCGCGGAATTATGATGAAAACGAAACAGGATGAAGCATCTGTCTAATGCCTTCAATCGGTCATCACATTACACGTAAATACTATGAAGTGTGATCAGTAACCAACCTTGGACTTAGTTTCTCTCATGTTCTCACTTTGCTTAACGAAATTGCCAAGACATTCACCATGTTCATCGTTTCATTTTTTACTTCCTAAGTGTTTATAATTTTCCCTTGTCTACGGTTTTTTGTGTTCAGTTGTTGAGAATAGGTTTTCTACCCCCACCCCCATCCCACACCCCACTTCCACAGTTATGTTTCCAGATGTTCTAACAAGAAGTTGAAATTTTGTTTGCATCTATCACAGTTGCACTATCTCCTGTTGGGCATCTTCCTCCGCTGCATGAAATCTTCGCCCACAACTGAAAGGGTCCTCTCTCCCTGTTTCGCAAACCCTGCGTCAATTATTCGTCCAGCTCAGCACATTTCCGTCCCTTTTTACAAACACTAAATGAAACAAAGTTACTCTGATCTATAGAAAAATTTCAAATTGTATTTTTCTTTTACTTTGCGACATGCTTGATCATATCTCCGTTTATGATTTACAAGATTCAGAATTATTTGGCGTAATATAACTTTACCGACTTGTTTCTAATTAACTCGGGCCTATTCCGGTATCTAGTTTAACTCCTTCCTAAATAATTTATATAACCTACATGTTTGTGTTGATGAGTGTTGTGTCAGAAATTCCGTCCCCGGGGACGAATACTGTCAGGTTCCACACTGAATCAAAATGAGTAAAATAAAGGTGAGCAGGTGATATTAAAATTTTATGAAGCATTTTCCGTCACCGAATAAAATTTTGCATTGGTGTCAAACAATTCTTGGCATCATTGTCCACTCACTTCGGGCTTTGTTTTCAACATCTTTTATTTGTAGTTGAAGATTTTTTGTTTGTAATATGGATTGGGTAGTTTAAGCGACTCAATCAATAATCAATAAACGTTTTTTTGAAGTTCTGGTTTTTCACGAAAAATCATGAATTAAACGTGGAAATTACGAATTCTCAGAGCGTGTATCGATCTGCATGCTGCGTTCTTGTTTGTCCAGTGTTGATGAGGTTTGACGTAAACGAACTTATAACTCATCTTTGACGGCGACGGCTCACTTCCTTTGTTCGTGTGGCTCAATATGGCACATACGAATTGGGTTTCCGATCAAACCTCGCAACACACAGTAATAACCAAAGCGGACAAACTCAGAGCAACCGGAATTATTCATTGCCAGTCTGATTAAACGTTATCATTATCATCATCCGAATCATTATTATTATTATTATTATCATATGTTCAATTGAGGGCTGAAGAAACTAAGTGGTGCGGTCGGATATAAGAAAGTTAATGCGATTTCGGTTGACTGATGAAACTCTGTGTGAGGTTTACTCCTAAAAACAATTTGGTATCTAGATGACAGCAAACGCAGCCAAATGAGCTTTTGTGATAAGTGGTGATCAATCTAAAAATTTCTGCAGACTCCTGTCACGAAATAAACAACTTTTTTGAGCATCGTTGAAGTGCGTTCATTAGTTCCGTTCTTTGTCAAATGCTACAAACTTGATTCACGATTTTTAGTCGAAATTTCGATCAACCACGTGTTGTGAATCCGCTATTATCTCATCAGATAGTTCCTTCTGTAGCCTCGACTATACAGTGGGTGGCTTGTTTCCAAACCGGACACTCGCGGTTATTTTTACCTTGACTCCTGTCACAAATTATATGCATCATCTATATTCGCTTAGTATGCATTTGATAATCATGACTCAGTTGGGCAAATTTAATCAATCGCTTTTATTGTTTCCAATTGGCATGTATACTGCAGTTTTGGTGATCAGTAATACACGGTCGACAATACACGATCTAGGATCGAAGAAAGAATGTACACGATTACAATAACTAACCTTGTCGGTTGTTACGAATAGGACAAGCTGATACAGCTTTAAATTATGTACACATTTGAATATCATAATTTTTACGGGTCAACTCTCAGACAACTGATGAATTACCACGTAACTTGTGATGACACTGGAGTTCAGCTTTGATGTTCAACAAGGACCTCGGTTTGTTCTCAAACGGATATTATGGGACTGAGAAACCAAGTTCCCAGCACATCATTGGTAACGTCAATCTTCCCATGTACCACTGTATGCCTTCTGACAGGTGTTCTTTTACCTGTATCATTTATACCAATGGCCAAGCACCCGTGACACAATCGCACTTTTGTGCGAGAGAAACAACCTATTCGTTTACTAAATGTGTTAGCTACCCGGTGTTCACGAGAAAAGCGATAAGAGTCGGCAACATAGTCAGTGAGCCTACCAACCCAGTGACAGATCAGGTAACCCATTGTGCTGATGATATTATGCACTGTGATATTGAGTCACACGACCACGGTCGTCTGGGTCCACGTTAGACAGTGCTGTTACTGTATTTCGGGATCAACACTTTGTTCGCATTGTCTCTTTGATTCTGAACATTCATTGATATTTTCACTGTCATTGTAGAACACCTTTTTGGTGATTATTGTTCGCATTTTCTGGAACAGCCTTCGTCCTAAGGTAACCTTATACTCAATTGTTAAAAAGCTAGTAAAGTACAGCTTTTATTCATATCAAGTATAGTTACTTTACCTAGACCTTCTTCTAATAGTAAAATGTTTACATTAGGAAGTACAATGGAGTTTCATGTTTTATCATAGATTAATAGTGAGATTTTTGGCACACTACCTGAGTTTTCTTTCTTCCTCTGTGCTCTTTAATTATTCGCATTTTATTGAACACATGCATGTTTAGATAAGCCTCCGGGAGTGAGATGGCAGCCAAATAAAAGTTTGAGTATACCAAGGGAAATAAGGTGGGAGAAAGAGGGGGGAAGCAGTTTAGTTTAGCCTGAACGTCTTCAACAACACTGTTCAGTTTGCTCAGTTCCACGGAAGTTTTGTTCCTATAAAGCAATACTTGACCATCAAAGTTCTTTGGAATAAATCGTTCTCCTATGTAAGGGGTGTCAAGGTCGCTTTCTACCAAGCGTTGTTACTTCGAGACCTCAGTTATCGATGCTTCCATACTCCATCCGTACCCGTTAAATTGATCAAACTATGTTCCTGCTGATTTCAAAGCCTGTATATTCGGGTATCAGCAGCTGATTTTAATTTGATTGTGGAAATGAGATCCGGTAAATGTATAATTATTAATAACCGATTTGGGAACTTCGTGCAAATGACGGGAAACTTTAGGATTCTATACTTTTGTGCGCCCAATTAATGTTGTAATCCTTTCAGACAATGTTATCCTATGATCACAACGGGACTATCTCGACTAAAGAGCAGGAAAAACATTCAACTAGTTTAGTTGTTCGACAAAAATATTTAATCATAACAATAAAGTACTTTCAACGGTCATCAGTTTTGACTGTTTCAAAGCCCGTTATATGACTATATTAATATCAAAGCGGTGCAAATGTGCTTTCTACATTCGTGAAATAGTATGGGCTGGTTAACAAGCACGAGATTATTGTGTGTGTATGTGTGTGTGTGTGTGTAGGTAATACAATGGGTAATGGGGTCCCTCAGTTGAACGTACCAGTTTCGGGACAACGAACATCTTCCAATCTCGGTTCGAGAAATAAATGTCGCAAAATTGATTCGCGCGCTACGCGTCCGTGACTGTCTGGCTCGAATCTGTGAAAGAACGAACACGAAAGGATCTGGTCATCATTATCATCCCTTCGGAGAGAGATCAAAGAAGTGTTCGGCTGAAGCAGTTGTGAAAATGTTCGTTTTCAAGTAACGGGAGAGAGGAAAACCGATAAAAGTAAGTGGTACATGGATGACGCTTAACATAGAAGCTGTATAGATCTTCACAGGCTACAGAAAAAACTGCGAGATCCAGCGCCAACTATCGCAGAAACTGTACGTAGGCACTCAAGCATATTGGAGGCGAAAACGGAACACACTGAACCAATGAAGGTGAATTTACCAAGAAGAAAAAAGCGACACATTTAACTCTTAAGGAAAATGGCTACATCGTACACTGTCAAAGCTGACCTAAATCACACTATCCAGCTTGTCTTGCCTAGAAAACAAGGATGTCAATATGCATCGTGTTTTCATCTGTTATGAATAAAATTCAACCAATTTCGGTATACTGTGTAGCGTGGGGACAGACAGCAAACCAAGCTGTAGAAAACCGTGTTCGGGAAGAAATTTATTTTCCACATTTCTCATCAACGGTACACATGTCTGATTGACCGAATACAAACGAGCGAAGAGAAAACGAACGTTACAGGGTTAGTTGTAGTCAAATCTATTGAGCAGTGGAGGGTGTGTGAAGAGAAGGTCAAAACGGAACCGGTAAAAAGATCGGCAGATTAAAATAGTGATGAAAGTTCTGAGCTGAGACGAGAGACAGAGAGAGAGTAATGAATTTACGTGAGGTACACCAGAAACGATGTCATACATGGCTAGTGCTGTAATTGGGAAGGGACAAAAAGAGACAAAAATAATGAATTGTTAGGGTTGTTGATGACGATATTGGCTGGGTAAGGATGCGGGATGGAAGTGGGGACGATTGTTGATGCTCTACTTTATGCACAACCAGCCCGCTGTCCAGACCAGGGCAACAACAACGTCTGGACAAGCTTATTTTGCTTGCATAACTGATAATTAAAAAAGGGACTTGCAATCACCTCAGCCGTGATTAAACGGCGCATTCCTAATCCTTCAGCAGATATCTCCGGGGTCTAGTGTGAATTATTCTGAATGCATTCAATTAGTTCATAACATGCTCGCTGTAAACAAGATGACCTAAAATGAGCTGCGAACGCATCTAAGCGTTTCTTTCCGCAGGGTGGCTACAGGCAAGTTTCGAGAATCGCCTGGTCGTATGACCAATGAATCACACTTTACAATTGCATGTGAAAAGATATAAAATGAGGGATTTAGACCGGTTAGGCAGCTTATCTTTTGTTTGCTAGAATATTAAGGGGCCGAGTGGTAGTGTTGACCCTCTAACGCATATATTTTATGCGGGAAAGTTTGTGCGTATTTCAGGGGGGGACGAAGCTACAAAAATGCATATACTGCCCAATCAACGTTAGTTTTACGGAATAGTATCGTTGTCTCGCTTTGATGTGAATCCTCCGAGAAGGGTAATTATTCGCTTTTATCTACGAATATTGCGATGTTCGTAGTGTGCCGCTTTGATATATTTTATTCAGCATTGTAAATACATTAAAATTGAGTAGTTTGTGGCACTGAAAGCCCCAAATAAATGTCTGGAATCTTTGTAATTGAAGTCGTGCTTGAATTGCAACAAAACGTTAGATTGGTAACATTGACAAGTTCTCAATAGCATTGTGAGTTCCCCGACGGAAGCAGACCGCTCTTCTCACGCATACTTTTACTTGTGTTGAGTCATGATAAGGGCAAGTATGCAGCTTTTACACCTTAGTTGTGGGTGCAAATTTACTAAATCATGCTAAATGCACCAAAAAACAAGTAGATATTGTCTTTGTCGATGAAGCAAACCATTACACAATTTCGTGGGAACTTTACCCTTGTCAAAATGCAAACTTGCGAAATATGGCAAACCGGAATTACGATATGAAGAGATACGTGCAAATAAAAGCTTCAATCCTGAGTAGGTGGACGATGTCGGTACGGTTTGTGAATTTTCTTCGTGTATCGAATGGGTAATGAATATCCGAGTGTAATTTGGGCAATAAAATTTTCGCATACTTTTTAAGTTGTCTATCGATGATAGAGTGTGCGAGTTTATCTCTAGAAATGTCACTACATTCCGATGTGCGTTTCAAAGATCTCCCTAGACGTTTATCAATACACCGTGGGGTTTCAATGATACAATTAGGGACGTTTTATTTTCTCATTGACATGACACAGAGAATGTGATACGGCCGATTTCCGTGATTGCGAAAAGCGAAGATATTAGTAGGCGGGTCTATTTCAGTGGGCCTTTTGGGTCATCGTTCGAAAATCGTACACTAGTTTTGTCATCTTTCTTTAGCCATTTGCAGTGAAATGGAAATAGCGTCCAAGCAATCTCCACTCAGTTAGCAAAAGATGATTTCCTCAAAAGAATAATAATTGCTCATTGAAGATTCCCATTCCAAATGCTACAGCATTTGAGAACAAAACACGAAATAGCGAACAAGCTCGTTTTCGATAACTTCCTCATCTGGCTGATACAGTTATGTAAATAGGTAAAAGGCTTATCACATTTGCATAACGTTTGACGTGTTTGTGTGGATTGGACTGGTAGATATAATTAATTGTTTATGTGTGGTTTACAACCAAAAACGGAGTGGTAGGTGGGTGGGAAAGGGGTGTGTCACAAGAGGGATTAGGACCGAGTCAAGGTTAACCATCACCGGTTTGGGATACGGGGTCAATGGCAAAGGTCCAGGGGTCATGAAAAGAGTCGGCTCTAGTAATGCAACTGAATTCACTCCGTGGTCATGGCAGTTGAAGTGCTTTAACGAATCGTTTTTGGGAACAAAGCGATGGGTTAAACAGACAGATGGCTACTGCCTCAGCTGTTGCTGGATGTTGTTGGCGAACAGCCTTAGATGGATAAGGAGGAAGCCGGTAGATCACCTTGAAAGCGTCTTCATTCACAGTATGTCCGGTATTGGCGAGGTGTTCGACAATGGCACTTGTCATGGTTTTTCTATCTCTAGTAGACAACCAGGCTGGTTTATGTTCCTTGATTCTCTGGGAGAACTGCCTGATGGTTCTACCTATGTAGCTTGCCGAACATGAGCAATTAAATGAGTAGGTAATCATAAAAAAAGGTAGAAATAGGCAGTTTATCTTTGGGATTCATGGATATAATTGGTCGACTGGTGAATTGAAGGTGTAAACGTACTACGGGAAGTGTGCTTGCGAATGCTCTTTCCAAGAGTCGAATGATTAGTTCACTTTTGGGCTCCTTTTTGTAAGGGAGTCGCATGTATAAGTCTTTGTTATTCACTGCTGTTATAGGAGATCCCTTGGGTGTCTCAGATGGATTTTTCTGAATGAACCGTTCCGGGTAACCATTGGATACAAGAGTTAG